TTCTGAAAACAAGTACCCCTGATCGGATTAGTTACTTTATGTAGATTGTTTATGTTACAAGTTACTATGTTGTTAATAACGCCATCGGGTATTAGACAATGACAGAAAAGAGGCGCTAACGAATAACGTCTTGCTGTCTTAGAAGTTGTGTTCTATATAGATATTGTGTAGAGGGTAATATAGAAGTGATATACAAGTAATTAAAGGGTAATATAGATAGATGTTACTAGATGTTACTATGTATAATATACTGTAATAGCACAAATTTTTTTGATGACAGTTATTACTTTTGAATACTTGAATAAAAATGTATTAGTGAAATTTTGATAAAATGATTTTTTTTGGTTAAACGTTAGAAATTGTATCCTGAATTTCATGTGATCGCTCGCTTTGACCTCCTCCTCTTGAAATTCTATATGCCATGTCCTTCCGTTTAACGTTAATCTTTTTTTTTTACTCAATCAAATATTTATTTCGGCGATTAAAAGGATTTAAACCCCCCTAACTTTAAACATTCCGCATAAATATCTTAATGAAAACATGAAATTGTTTCAATTGTTTCACATTTTAATTAAGTATGTTTCAGAAAATGCGCGATATTATAGATTTAACATTAGATTTAATGAAATGATGAAATTACCCAATTATCCATTAATCCTTTAGTTTAATCTATTACTGACATCACTCAACGTGACAATTTAACATGTTATTATTTGTACATGTAATGTCGATGATCGTCAAAGTAACACGAACTTCAGCTTAATGTTTGCAACATATCGAACAGTTTCTCCGAATTGAACCAAGTCCAGTAAGTGTGTATGCATATACGTACGTGCACGCATATACTTACGTACATACACACGCGATTGCTAAATATTTAGTTAAAACTTACAAATTTTATATATTTAATTTATCATATCTATCATATCTGATATGGCGTTTTACATTTTCCGAATTTTAATTTCACCACCAATTATCTTTTAAGATACGGGTAGGACTATAGGACATCGTAACTATATTCGTATAAAGTCTGTTGGTTACTAATATATCTATATATATATATCATTAATGTGTCCGTATATTTCGAGTATCTCATTGGCTGACTTACCAAGTGTACAAAGTATGTTATATAGTATGTTATATAGTATGTTATATATATAGTATGTTATATATATAGTATGTTATATAGTATTTTATATATATAGTATGTTATATAGTTGATTTTATAACATTTAACTATATATATATATACACTATATATCGATATATACTAGTCGATCCCTATATAATAATAATAATATAACAATTATAGTTTATAACGATAAAGGGTGTGTAATCATTTCCTCGACAGACATCACATAGGGTTAGTGGAAAAATACATCAAAGTTATTAAAGTTATAGGCACTCACCTATTTAGAAATGCTAGCATAGTACGTATGTACATTTTGCCCATTTAAACCATTTAAGTTATTACGTACGTACCTAGATCAATTTTTATAATTATAATCAGAGTATATACATATACGTATATACAGTTTAATCGTGTGAATTTCCTCTTATGTAATTAAGCTGTTTCATAATTGAAGTTTCTGACATTTCGATGACACCTACGATTGAAGTTACCTGTAACATTCCCAATAACCCTATATATAGTTTGAGCAAGAATTAGGAACTTACTGGAACTTATATTAATATAGATAGACTATATGTTGATCCGGGTTATCCAAATATATTTCCGGATAGCCGCTGCAATCCTGCCTATCTGAGTCTAATTCCTAAAATAATGCACTAACCTTTAAAATAGTTGAAGGAATATGCATGGATATCATTCCGGGTAAATGTAAATCTCTCTTGTTACTATTTCCTAAATAAATATCTTACTTAATCTTCATAATTTTCAATCTTATAGAAATAGTAAATATTCTTCCTCAACTAGAATTTGACTGAATTTGACTGAATTTGACTGAAGTTTACTAAATTTGACTAAAATTTACATGTTTCCTATATAAAATTATGTGTAAACTTAAAATTAGATTTATAAGTTATACAAAATGATTATGTACTTTTTTACATACTCTTATTAATGATTATATACTTCTTACGTACATACGCTTACGTATTACATGTTTATTGTCTTGACTTATTGACTATATTAGGAAACATCGATTACACTATTGTTCATCTCTAGTCATATTAATTTGTGTTACTGTTACATAGTTACGTACTCACGTACGTACGTTCGTTGCAAGTCATAATTTAGTATTATGTGATGATATCCACTGTCAATATTTTAGAATTTTACAGTAAAGATCTTCCTCTAAAAATAATTTCAAACTGGTTAATGTGAGAAAAAACTCCATTAGAATTAAGAATTTGTCATTAAACAAATTGATCTACTCTGTTTATCCGTCTATCAACCCCCTTGGCTTATATCATTTACTAAAGAAATAACAGGTCTCCCCCTAAAGTTCCAGTGACATAATGACCTCCACAGACATTTCACCAACCAAGCACATACATACGTACGTAATACTATACTATATATTAACTAATCAGTCACACGATTTGTCACGCAGATCATGTGTGTGAAATTTTTTAATATCGATATGGCAAATTTTGCTTCTTAAGGTTTGTTTAACACTTTTAAAGGTGTTAATAATAACTTTGTGTCACATAACACGATCAGGAAGATCCAAAACACCTCTTTTAACTCAAAAATTTTGCTCAAGAAATTGCTTTTTCATGCTCTAACAAAAAAAAAAAGAAAAATTCTTGTACAATTTTACTATAAGCTAGCCCTTTTCTAACCCTAAACCTAACCCAACCCTAACATAAACGAACCTAAAAATTTTGATGATATCACGTGATCGAAAAATTTTGGCGCTGGGGAAGATCACCAGAATTCGGAACCCAAAATTCGATTGAAACTCGGGCGCACTTGAATAGCTAATATAGTGGATATTAGTAGAAAGAATTGGCGTTTCGGCTAAATCATAATTTGACGGTTTGAAGCGAGAAATCTATATTACAAGTTTATGTACATCACCGCAGTATAACACGTAGACTGAGTTCTATTGGTCCGAGACACCAAACATTGCATCAGTTTTTATAGAAAGTTATGGTCTTCGCTACACTTCGAACAATTAATACATATATATTTGATATTGTAACGAATAACTTTTGTCACATGTTTCTTTCTTCTATATTGTCCCTTTCATTAACGTTACATTTGTAATTTGCCTTCCATAATTGTACTGTCATAGCCATGCCGAACTTATCTTAATAGTATTAGACCTTATTATGTATCTTGGTTTAAAACGTGTAGTAGACGCTGTGTCAGTGAAAAATGGTATGACAATAAAAATTAGTGCTACTACGTAGACAAACATCCAACACAAAATCTACTAAATCTAATAAAATCCATCCTCTATACCCTAATTGGTAGGCTTCGAATGAGGCGTGGGTTTATTTGGTCCGGGAATATGGTGTTCTTCAATACTGCGTCAGTCATGAGGCTAATTCTAATATTTTCTTATCTCTTTTGCAGAGTTCCAATCCGGATAAATCCGTCATCCATTTATCCATGTCTAAATTTATCCAGATATCCATTTTGACAAATATTCAGAATGAATAAATTCAGATCTGGATATCCAATAGATAAATGGATGAACGGATAATGAATAGAAACTATACTCTTTTGAACTTGATTTTGTTGGTAGCACTGATACTTATTACTTTAATTCTAGGATGTTCTATAGAATAGGTGGCAAACTCCCCAAACTCCGCAGCGCCGATATTAAAAAATTAATGATCCCACATGGATTTAAAGCGGCAGTTTTTATTCGAATATCCTGAAAAATAATACCATAGGAAAAATTATCTTTGAAAAAAATTAGTATAATAAATAATATTATGAAAAGACTTCTTAAAAAGAAAAAGGAGAAAGAAGATAAGAGGGAAGAGTTTAAATCAAAAATTAATAGTGGAAAAAAGGAAGAAGTAGTCGAGAGGGAGGATGTAAAAAATATAAGAAATGTAAAAAACATTCTTCTTATTGGTCGTACAGGAAATGGTAAATCTACTCTTGCCAATGTGCTAGTTAACAAAAATGGGAATTTCGAAGAAGTCTTTAAAGAAGGGGAGTTTTCTATTAGCAAAACCAGAAACGTTCAGAAAAAAATCTATAAAATCGTTGATACAATGGGAATCAATGATACAAACTTCACAAAAGATCGAGTATTAGAGGAATTAGGCAAAGTATGTTGGTATATAAAAGAGGAGATAAGTCAAGTTTTTTTTGTTACAAGAGGCAAATTTACCGAAGAAGAAAAATTAGCATATAAGTTACTTAGTGAAGTTATTTTTGATAAGAACATTAACAAATATATCACAATTATAAGAACTGGCTTTGATAATTTTGAGGACCCCGAAAAATGTAAAGAGGATCGAGAAATTCTGATTAAAAATAATACTGAAATCGCTGAGTTAATTGATGCTGATATTAAAATCATTCATGTAAATAATCCATCTATTAGTATTACTAGTGGATCCACGGCAGCGCAGTTGAACATATGTAATAAAATGATAAGAGAAGAGTCAAGAAAAAGATTATTAGAACTTTTAGAAAAATGTGACGATGTTTATAAATCACAAAACTTTTATCGGAAAGTTTGTGAAGAATTAGGAAACATAATTGAAATGAGAAAAGAGATAATAAAAGAACTCGAGAAAACTACAAACAAGTTAGCTGATCATATTTTATATGGAAATTTTATTGAGAAGGGTAGTTCATTTGCTCAAGTAACTTCTGGGCTTGTGGCTCCATTTTTTCCATTTGTTCCTTATATTTCACCTCTCGCAGTAGGTGCTGAAGTAGTTGATAATGCTTACAAGTATCATCAAGAAAGATATGAAAAAAAAAGTATGAATAAATTCAAAGAAAAAATTTATGAAGATAAAAAAGTTCAAGAAGAATGTAAGTTAATTGAATCAATGCTTCAAAAATCAGAGACGATTGATTTCGAACTTTCTAATTCATTAGTAGAACAAATGAATATTAAAATTAAAGAACTTAAGAAAGAATTGGAAGAAATGGAAAAATCAAAACTTGATCATGAACAAAAATTCGATAGTTGGAATGAACGTTATAATGAACTTAAAAATAAAATTGAAATAGATTATTCTAGCAATTCTGAAGATGAAGAGAATGATATTTTTTATGATGCTCAAAATGAATAAAATCTCTCTATAGTCATACTCTATATAGTCATATTTATTATACAGATTACTCCCGTTAATATCAACCCATTTGGATTAGACAAGTGCGAGGGTTGCTAATGGTGGGATAGTTTTTATATAGTCTATGTTTATTTTTCTTAATAAGAGGTTAATATTAATGGGAAGTTGATATTAACGGGGTTGATATTAATGGAGTAACCTGAACAATCTTAAATAAACTATATAAAATTTAACCTCTATATAAGCACAATTTTATAGTATTATTTTTTATATAATATTTATTCAGAAATTACAATATTAATAATTATTTATTCCTAGCTACTAAATTCTGAAAATTTTTTTTACTTTAGCAGTTACGCCACTCTCTTTATTTAGTGTCTACTGAACCATATAACTCAGTTTATTATCTAAAATGTACAGAGGTGATATCTTGCAGTTACTTCTATGAGCACTTTCAAGTGACCTGCCGCACTAGCTGAAATAAAGTTGCAATTGACAATACCCTTGCTAAACTCTGCCAGGAGTTTAAACACAACCGCTATATCATACCTTAAAAAAAAAGTTACGAATCTGAGTTTAAATTTTCTAAACAAAAGTTCCGTTTTCGAAATTACAGGAATTACAAGCCATATTCTCTCTTACGCTTTACTGAATAGTAGATGTTATCCTGCTCCAACTGGTTAGTTTGTGCTTTAAA